GGTGACACATGCCACTCTTTGATTGGTGAAAGTAAATATATCAAATTAAAATAAAGTTAGTCCTCCAACAAAATAGTAATAAATTGCATGATATGTGACATCATTCGATTGAATGATTAAATTTATTTTAATTTTTTAAAAGTATGATTAAATTGAGAGAATATGTAAATAATAGGGATCAAATGTGTGATTATATCAAAATATTTAACAACTGTTAACGACAATTAACTCGGAATGACCACATCTTAATTAAATAAAAACGAAAATGACACCGTCTTATATTTTTTAAAATTAATGATCAAAAGTGGATAAAACACAAATATAAATAATAACACCGATAAAAATTTAAATTTATTGAAATAATATTTAGGTAAAAAAGGCCTATATCGATATAAATCCCAATGAAAAAACAATTCAAATGACTTTACTTAATGAATGACTTCTATTTACTGATATATATATATATAATGTCAAAAGGTAATAAATAAATAATTGGATGATGAATGAAGGGGGGAAGATAAGGATAAGAAGCTTCAACCATTTCAAGGCATCCATTATCATATAAATATAATCAATACCTAAAACACAACCCTTTGAGAACAATTCATGTGGGAGCATCTTCATCCTCCAGGTGGAGGAAACTCCTCAACCTACCGCCGCCGCCACACACTTAGCTTCTAAAGCAGTTGCTGCCTCCCCCTCCTAAAAACACAACTCCCTCCACTCTCTATTAACAGGCCTAGTGTTTTTTTTTTTTTGCTAGCACCGACCACCCACCACGAGAGAAGTGATGATTCTAGTGGCAGTACTGGCGGAGCTGATGGAGGAGTACACGGCGGTTTTGGGTAGACTGCTGCACCATTTGTTCCATGTAGCTCCTTTCCCGAGGCGACTCCGTATCCTCATAACTCGCAGCCTTCCTTTCGCTTCTTCTTCTTCTTCTTCTTCTTCTTCTGCTTGAAGAGACTTAAACATCCCATGTTCTTTGTTCCTCTTTTTTTGGATAGAGTTTGAGTTTATGTGTATATTGTGGTCGTCCATGTAATATAATTTTCGTTTTGGGAATTCAAATATTTTGCATCTTTCTGAGTTTTAATATTCACTTGGAGATAGTTTTTTAGTATGTTCAAGACTGCAAATCTATTCTCACTTAATAGACATAATAATCTTGTCTTAATATTCTATTTCACCATTAATATAAAATTGGACTTCATTAATATACTAATTCAGGATTTATAATTTGAATTCTAAATTGGATGGGAATTAAAAAATATTAACTTACTTTATTAAGTGGAAATAATTGGGACGGGACCAACCCATACAAAGGTTTTCTTTCCACTTCATAAAAATCTTAAGGCTTAATTCCCAAATAAAAGTCCAAATAATATTTTTTTTGCATATGTCGATACATGTCATTTAATAAAAAAAATTAACGAAGTTGACGACCTGAATATCTAAAAAGATAATGTTTATAACGTTAAACACTCGGATGAATCAAAAAACTGTAGGCACTTATTAAAAAAAAAAAGACATAGTTTGAATATTTATTTGGGAATTAAGCCAAATCTGAAAGGATAAACCTAGGACAACCACTCATTGTACCATAAGCTATCGGGGATATATGGGTGAACTACATGTTTAGTATATTAATTATTATTTTCATTCTATTTTAACCATTCAATTATTTTATTAAAATCATGTTTAACGATTTTAGTTTCAGTTTAGTTTAAAAAAATTAATAGAACTATTACTTTTATTTTAATTAAAAAATAAAAGAAATTGTTTACTTATTTTTTTTTCAACAATAACGTTATATTATCTTATGATGATACAATAAAATTATTATTTTTAATAAAAATAATCAAAATTAAATATTATATATAATTTTAAAAATAATTATACGATTAACATAAAACAAATTTTATAATTGAAATATTAAAACTACAGTTTATCTAGACCTGACAAATTTGACTAGAGTTCGATTATTTGAATCGATTTACTCGACCCAATATCTAATATTAACCAAAACATGATTATCAAATTTGATACTAAATCCAAATCATATTTGATCCAAAATTTAGCTAACCCAATATAGACACATATCCAATTTGACCAGAATCGAAAACAATCCAAATCGAAAGTAACCCGAATCGAAATCAACCAGAACTGAACTGAATTTAACTCGAAAAGAAAAACAACTCGAATTGAATTTAACCCGATCTGAAATTAATTCGAATGGAAAGTAATCTTAACCGAAAATCTATATATACTTTATTAGATTTATAACCAAATTAAGCGTAAATGAAAAGATTAACAAATGAAGACATATTTTTACAAGAATATATCAATAATTCTATACATACTTGATTAGAGTCATAACCAATTCAATCCGAATTGACCTGATCCAAAGGTTGACCTTAATCGATAATCAATCAATCTGATATTGACCCGACTCAAAATCTAACCGATCCGATATTAGCTCGACCCAAAAACCAATTGATCTGATATTGATTTGAACAAAAAAAAACGATCCGATAGTCACCCGACCCAAAAATTGACCCACCCGAAAATTGACCCGACTCAATTTCCCATACACCCGAACTAAATTCGAATCAGAACCGATCCAACCTAAATAAAATAAAACCAAGACCCGAAATGATCTGACTCAAACCGATCCCAATGAGCCACTCTAAGTTTATCTCAGATACTTTTATGGAATTATTTTTTCCGAACTTATACGACAGGTAGATATACACATGGACTGAAATGGACTTAAGATTTTTAATTTGGGATATTTTTGTGTGATTGAAAATGAGGGTTATTGTTAAGAAATAATAGATAAGGTGGGGAGAATGTTCATGTTTCTATGTTGATGTGCAAAGAAACCTTACACGTCAACGTCTTTATCAACTTAACAAATGGATCCTCTGTTCCTTCATTTTCTTATCATTATTTCGTTTTCACACTTCAACTCTAAATTATAGGCAAATTGTTTATTGTTATAGTAGTAAATATATATGCATTAACGTATTTAAAAATATTTTTTTTAAAATAAACATACATATTAATAATATAAAATGGAATAGGATCTTGTTATTTAATGTAAAACTTTTTAAGTTTTATACAAATTTAGAAATGTTGAATTAGTGAAAACAAATAGTTGAGATTAACGGTAGGAACTGTGAAGATACTTACTAAAAAAATAATTAGTCAATTTCAGTCATATATTTTATTTATCTAATAGTCATAAATCTGTGTAATACTAAAGAATTTTACTTTATATAAATGAATATTAACCCATGTAAAATTCTTAAATTAATAAATACTAATTTTATAAATGAATACAATTTGATAAAATAAATAATAAATAAAAAATCCAAATTTTGAAATAGACAAATATACACCTTAAAGAAGATGTGGATCTGCCATTGAATGTCCATATCTACTTTCTCAAACATTATCTTCCAATAAGTTTGACATTCAGATAAGTTCTGATGGTAAAAAATTAATTTGATTTTTTAAAAAATTATAAAGTGATAAATTAATATAATAATAAATTATATTTTTGATGTTTTGTATTGTCTGATTTCTTTTTATGTTTATATCATTTTGATTATTTTTTGCTTACGAATTGGACAGACTTTGTACCTAATGTTATCAACACCAGAACAAATCCGATTGATGCAAGGTAGTTGATGTCGGAAAAGTTATGATAAATTAGGAACTTTGAGGCACATTTTCTAAGGGTTAAGGTAGAGATTTGAATAATGAATTTATTTATTCATATTCTACTCCATGAGATCTTTAAAACGATATTTCAATGTTTAAAATAGTTGAGTGATGAATGAGAATTTGATGCTCAAAGCAGCGTACATATGATTGTGTTGTATAAAAAAAATAATAAAATTCATATCCCACATCGATAGGATAACAAGCATGAGAATGATTTATATCCACCGACTCACTTGCTAGTTATTGACTGATTTAAATTGAAGTTATACTTTGTGTATAATTGATAAGGGTATATAAGCTAATCTAACCCATAGAAGTTGTGGATGCACCCCACAATTTGAGAGATGTCAATGATTGAATTAGATTGAATATTTTAAATTAAAACAATATATATATTATTATTTTTTAATTCAAATATTAATATGATATGTCTTTTGTGTTACCGTACGTTGATTATCTTGTTGTTGTATCTTGAGAGAAAGACGACCAACAGAACTATGTAGTTACATGCCTCATCTAGTTGAAAGGATTAAGGATTGAAGACTGAGAAGGGTTAAAATGGATGGGGCTGCCTCAGATATCAGGATCATTCAATTGATGTTTCTCAAGCAAAACTCAACCGATTGCAGCACTGTTGATGCTTACTTGTGTTCGAATTCGATGCTCTTGAGTTGTGCTGGAAACGCTTGGTTTCATGGCATATATTCAAAGCCTGTCAAGTGTTTGGGGTAAAGTTGTGTTGAAAACTCATATGTAATAGCGTTGCAGAAGAGACAATTCATAAGTAACATGGGATCGAGGTCCCCCATGCAAGCCATGAAAAAGGGAGAAATTATAATTTTTTTAATAGTATACGGTGATTACAAGAATATAAATAATTTGTAAATGAAATTTGAAGGAGATACAATATATCCGATATTTATAATTTTGGAAAGAATACGAATAATTGTCATTACATTTATTCACTATAATATAAAAAGCTGATATTTTTAATATCTACAAACAGGCTAAATAGTACTCCTCCACTTAAAAAAGGAAAAACAAAAAACAATGTGCTTGGGAAGTTAGGTTTTCTACACTGAATATTGTTCCATACATAGAAGAGATTTCATGAATATATTCTTTTATGTCTACGATAAAAATATTATAGTCTATTGATACGATATTGATACAATTTTGTTTCGGTTTCCACGTTATAATAATATTAAAATTTTACGAGTGAAGTATAAGTACTCCCCTCGTGGAGGGGTCCAATACAAAGATTTGAACACAAGAGATGGGTTCATCTTTCTAAAGAGTATCAGATTACTCTGATATCAGCAAGAGATTGTCTCTTTCATTAGTTTCTCTTCCTTGGGTACTTCAGCTTATATATATATATATATTACGAACTTGATTTGAGGCAGAAGTGTGATTCCAAATTTTCAATGGCAACCCTAATAGCAAGAGCATTTGGGTCTATTATATCTGTTATTTCCCGGTGTTTGTTGGGTTACCCAGACAACGAAAAGGGCGTCCGCAACAATATTCATCACCACAAGAAGAGTAATAAGGGCCATCCACTTTCTTTGCAGGTTCCCTTTCATCCACCTCCAACAAGTATATGTATATATATTTTTTCCGATCCGATTATCTGATTTTTATCAGATTCAATCCGAATTATTCGAAAAAAATCGAATCGAATATCCGAATATTCGGATCGGATCACTGGATAAACGTATCGGATATTTTTGCACACCACCACCTGACACACATATTAAAAACTCACTATAAAATCTCTCGAGTATGATCGAGAGACGAGATGCGATCTCGATAAAATCATTTCACTCTTATTCTCCTATGCTCTACCTTCTTACGAAGACATAATAATTTAATACTGATCAACAATCAATTCCTTACTGATTACAACTAAAAAATAACCTTCAAAAACCTATTTTATCCCATCAACCATATCCAACTTACCGAACTTGCCTTTTCATTTTAATGATTTTCATAAGATAAAATGGGTATTATCTAGCGTCGGTTTAAATCTTGAACTATTCGTGGTTTTTAAATTAAAGTAATCTCTAAACTAACTTTATGATACTTAAAGATATTCGATATGAGTCTTGAGTTTTAGGTTAGATTTTCAACAACTTACACATGTAATACATAATATTTTTAATAATAACTTTATGATATATGGACCAGGATAAAGACATAGTTTATGTTAAGAGACGTGAATTTAAGAAATTATATTAAAATTTTAAAAGATTTGAAATTATAAAATTTCAAGAGATGTGAAATTAGATTATCAACAAAAGATTACTAAAACTATAGGATGATTTAAAATTTTCATGTGTGATCGCACCCCTAATCTATCCATATACATAAACTATGTAAATTAAAATTAAAATTTACACAATCTACTTATTTGAATTCTAAACTTAAATTGTAAGAACCCTACAATCTTGATTCTTTATATTTAACTCTTTGCAAGAATCCTTCCTTTTGAGTTAAATATACCAACATAATAATCTTGTGTTAGTTAAATATTTAGTCATTTGAACCACTATGTAAAGGTAGATAAGCTCCAACGTCATTTTTTGGGTCTTATTCTCAATAATATTACGATTCGAATTACATTAAAATATTAAATTTTCATAAAAATAATAGTTAAATAAATTAATCGAATTAAATTTCAGATTCTTTTTCTATCAATTTTATTTGAGAATCAACGGACAATTAAAGTTTAATACTATTAAGACCCGACATGGTATATCTTAGTGCCATGGGTTTCCTATAACTGGATGGAGCACAAAGGGTCATAAAAAGAAGGAACAAAAGAATAATAAGAAAGATGAGCACAATTTTGTCATAAAAATATTGGGCATCCATTGCTTTAAAATCACAACTTGATCTCTCTTTTCACAGACAGTGGAGCTCAAAGTCAGGATGTGCTGCATTGGATGTGAGAGAGTAGTCAAAAGAGGCCTTTACAAGCTCAGAGGTACATATTTGAACTCGTTATTTTCTATTTTTTCTCTCGACATAAAATTTTTAATTTCGTTTGTTAATATATCATCAGGTATAAATTCGGTGGAAGTTGATCTAAATTTAGAGAAAGTGATCGTCGTCGGACACGTCGATCGTCACAAGGTGTTGAAACGAGTGAGGAGGTCGGGGAAAAGGGCCGAGTTCTGGCCCTACTCCGATGTGCCGTTGTACTTCACCTCCATGGGTGACTACTTTAGAGACACGAGGAACGAGTTCAAAGAGAGTTACAATTATTACAAACACGGGTACAATCTCGGACACCGACACGGGAATATTCCGGTGACTCATCGAGGAGACGACAACGTCAGCAACATGTTCAACGATGACAATGTGAATGCCATCTGCTGTCTCATGTAGATACTTGAAATTAAAACAATGTAGTACCCCATCCATTTTGATCATGTAAATATTATTTTCGTTCATGTAATACTGTATGCATTTTATATATAAATATTTATACTTAAACTGTTGCAGATATTTATCCTTTTCTGGGTTTTTTTAATGCAATGCCTCTGTAGTCGTGCTCTGGAAAAAATTTAGGTTCAGATCGTGTCGGGTTTTTTTAAAGGTGATATTTGGGTTACGTCGGTTTAGGGTAAAAAATATCCAACTCGATCTGACCCAAAAAAATATAATTTTATATTATATATTTATGAATAATTACAATAATATCGCTCTATATATTAATTTTTTCAATTAAATCACTATTATTCTTAAATAAAAATAATATTTTTTATTATTTCGAGCCACGTCGGATCAGATTCGGATTTTATCTCAAAAAATCGGGTCAGGTGGAATGTATATTTTTCGAGTCGGATCGGATAAAAGGTATAAAGTTTTTGGGTCAGGTTGGCCGAAACCCGACCCATACCCATGCCCATCCCTAAATGCAAGTGCTCAATCATCTGCTCGCTTGATCGCACATGTAGACTTGCCTGTTGCTCGCTATGACCCTTTATTTATCCTTAAAATATGAGAATATGGTATTTCAATCAACCTTTAAATATATTATTTATAAATCATTCGTATAATATATGTTTATGTTTATTTATTAAGTTAAATTAATGAGTATGAATAAATTTTTTATGTTCATATATTAAATGAACATACATTAATAGAGATATATTTTATTCATTTATATTAACGAATAAACTCGTTTAAAAACTCTTTTATTGTTCGTTTATAAGTTTGTTTATCATGTTCTTATATTCCTTTAATTTTTTTACATTCAAAATATTGACAAATGTGGGGACAAAATAAACATATGATCAACTTTGGAGTTCAAACTATAAAGTTTAAGGAGTTTAAAGATTAGTGTTGTAGTTTCACCATTTCTTTGACTTGCAAATATAAGGATAAAAAGAAAGTGTTCGTTGCATAGAGTATTCAAATCATATAAACGAAAATGTTAACAAATTTTAAATAAATATGTTTGTGAACGCTAAATAAATCAAACATGAGCACATCCACAAATAAACAAATAAAAATGAGCAAGATATTAAAAATTGAAACAAACCAAATATAAATACCTTTAAAAATAAATAAACGAACACAAATATAAATTGAACGTCGATTTATTTACACTCTTATTTATTGCTTTGCATCAACGACAAAGATGTAAGTTAAATGTATTAAATGATTGAGAGTTATCTTTAAACATATATTACCTTATATTTACCTCAAATTAATAAAAAAAATATATTATTTCATTATTAAACTAAAATAGTCAACCTCATTTATGAAATCTTAATTACCAGTTTTATAATAAAAATAAATTATTCCCAGTTTTTTCCGATCTCTATCTTTTTCCCCATGAAGATCATGAAAAGCTACATCCCCTCTATGTTCTTCCTTACCCTTGTAAACTACGCCAAGCTCCTATTCAACAAGGCACTCACTAGTCTCGGTCTTTTCGAGCCACCGTCGCCGGAAGAAGTTTATTATTCCGACGATGGTTACATTTTTTTTACGGACGGTCGATCTCGGTCATTAGTATCGGTCCCGATCCAAGTTCTTATGGCAATGATTAAGGACAATTTGTCGATTATTGAAAACGGTGATTTCGTCGAAAGAATGGGAGACCACGAGGATGAACATGTTAAGAATGGTGACGATGATATGGTGTGTGGAGTATGCTTGGAATACATGGAGAAAAGTGATGAGATGAGAGAGCTTTGCATGCGTTCCATAGAGTGTGTATTGATACATGGGTTGATGAGGGTCGAGTTTTACACATTTGTAAAATATTTATCTAAGGTTTATAGGGATTGCATGATAAAAAAAACACTTTATATGTCGTGATTAATATGGTTTTTATAATTTATTTTTTATATAATAAACTTTATTTAACTAATTATAATTTCAACCCTAATTTATTTTATCGATTATTAAATCTAAAGTTTTTTTGTTTGTCATTATTATAAAATTATGTTAACATTCATATATTCTATGACTAAATAGAATGTAAAAGATTTTAAAGATAAAAATAATTAATTATTAAATGTTAATTTAAATTGACTTAAATTTATATAAAATATTAAATATTTGATCCATGAATCCAAATGTAATTATCCAAAATTTATAATCAATTAAGCAAACTCATTTGAAAATCGAACCCTCTCACTCGCACCGAATCAATTCTGAGATTCAGGGGATCTCACTTAATATGATTTGTTGATTTTTATTAGGTAAAATGGTGTTCTAATTAAGAAATTAAATATAAAAAAGATATTATTATAATTATCTCTTAATTTACAAAAAATAATTCTGATAGTGTGTCGGATTGAGTTAAAATTTTCACCTTAAATCCAAATTAAAATATGATCCTTCCAAATCATAATTTTTAAAATAAAAAATCGATTAAATCGGATCAGATCAAAACCTATCAAATTTTAGTGGGATGCTCGTATCTATACATACAAGCACCACATAAATATGCAAACATGTGTGACATACACACATAGACATGATGTAATCAGAAGTTGCTATCTTTGAGCTATTCATCATTAAAGCATATGAAATAGAATTATTAACTCTTTAGACTCCATAATTAAAAGTATTCCTATATGCCCTTGTGGTCCAGTATCTTAGAAGGTGGGTTATCTGGGTTTGAATCAATACCTTAAATATCAGGTAGCTTAAATTACTCTACATGTTGATTGCTTGTTAAGATATGACCCAACACTTCAATTCTCTCTTTCTAAGCATGTTTATACATTAATTAAGCAAAACTCATTACATAACAATTTGGAAAACTGACCCCTCTAAAAACCATTTTTCCTACTAAAAATACTGCATTTTCTTGCATCACATTGCTTCATTTTTTGGCAATAAGAAAATTTATTGCAGCAATCAATATTGTTATATTTGGCTGGAATCATCAAAATTCATTGATGAAATGCCAAAACTTCGGTCACCTCCAACTCTAATCAATTTGGCAGCAGTACTAGAGGAAGAAGAGTTGATGAGTCTAGCTACCTAACGTAACTAAACTCTTTAAACAAGTTCATTCACCTAGAAAATTCCAAGAAATTTCCCTGGGAAAACAAAGTTTGATATTGAATGATCATAGCATTATTATGGGGTTTAGGGTAGGATAATTAGTCTCTTTCAGTTCCCAGGAATATTTACATTGTTTTGTTGTTGTTACTGGGTATTGGCTGTTGCTGTTAAAGCTTTCCCTTTCATGACTTCTTCTTTGTGACACTTGAAAAGTTTTCAGATAAAAAGAAAGGAGGAAGCTTTAAGGTATCTTAAAGCTGAGGTTATTTGGAATTTTCTTTTTGTGCAATGGGTTTGAGTAGTAGACCTCAAAAGCATCTCAATGGAGTTCCCACCAAATGGGTTTCTCTCTTTTGCTTTGTCAGTTTCTTCTCAGGTGTACTTGTTGTCAACAGGTTGGTTTTCCCCCCTTTTTCTAATTGGATTATGAAATGATCAAGAATTCAAAACCATGTTTTGAATTGTAAAACTTAAAGATTTTATGTTCCTTTTTGATGGATTTCTGTTTATAATTTAGAAGCTTTGATTATTGCTGCATTTTTTGCTCTTTTGTTCATAGATTTATGGTTCCAATTCTTGAAATCAGTGTCCAGTGATGTGCATTTTTGTTCTCGTCAATTGTATAGTATCTGCATTTCTTGATTCAGTATGTTGTTGCATTGATTAGGGCTGTATTTAGCATTGTTTACAGATTTTGGGATATTTTGGATCCGGTTAGAACCGAGGGGGAGGCTTCTTCCGAGCCAAAACATCGCATAAACGAAGTTCATCCGATGATTAATTGCGATAAGGCATGTTTACAGTTGCATGTTGTCTTGAACCATATTGCTTTGCCTGGTTCCTGATGGTGTTTATGTGTGTTAGAACAGGATGCTTCCATTCAAGCAGGCAATGTTCTTTCCCGGGTTTCGCAAACCCGCAATGTAATCAAGTAAGTTTTGCATCCTAGTTTCAGTTTTATCCTTCGACGGAAGGCTTAAGTATGTCTGAAATGCATTTAGAACTTACGGTGGTTCGAATTATATGTACTTTCAGGGCATTAGACAAAACCATCTCCACATTGGAGATGCAGCTGGCTGCAGCTAGAGCTGCCAAAGCAGGTAGTGAGGAAGGATCTCCGATGGTTACGAAATCGAGAACTTCCGGCTTGAATAGACGCAGGAAAGTATTTTTTGTTATGGGAATTATTACAGTGTTAAACGGTAGAAAACGAAGGGATTTGATCCGGGAAACTTGGATGCCTCAAGGTTTGATTCAATACTCTTTTTGCATTGTACCAGGGAAGAGGTCTAGTCTAGTATTTATACTTCGAGGTTATTGTTCTTAGGGGAGGAATTAAAGAGGTTGGAGAAAGAGAAGGGGATCGTAATTCGATTCATCATAGGACACAGGTAAATTCGATCGAAAGCTCGAAGAGTTTAACTTTGACATTGCAGTTAGCTTTTTTAAAACGGTAATGTATCCGTGGTCATCAGTTCAACCCCGGGTGGTTCTTTGGATCGTGCTATCAATGCGGAAGAAGAGCAACACAAGGACTTTTTGCACCTGGTATGCCATCACTTCTGGCCCTACCCGATTTAGAAACTCGAAATTTCTACCTGTTAAGTGAAGCTTATGTATGATTGAATTTTTTTGTTTGGCAGAATCATATTGAAGGTTACGGTGAACTGTCATTGAAAACTCGAATATATTTTTCGACAGCGGCTGCAAAGTGGGATGCCGAGTTCTATCTCAAAGTCGACGACGATGTACATGTAAATCTAGGTTAGTATTGCCACATTAAGCTTCTCAATACTTTCATTTTTTCTCAAACTGATCTATATCTCGGTAACTAACTCAATGTTGAATTATTCTATAGGTATGGTGAGTTCTATACTAG